TGTATGTAGTTAAAACTTAAAATTTTCTCCTCTGAATTGATAAAGGCTAGAGGTTAGATATTTGTCATTAAACATTTGGTAGTGAACCTCTACCAAGATTATTCACGTTACAGCCCAAGGGTCAAAATTAGCCTCACCCCTGGGGTAATATATTAAGGTTTTCCTTATATGTATATAGAAAAAACTTTTTAAAAAATCTTTTCATCAGAAGGTTTATGGCTTAGAGCTTAGATACTTGGTAAATATTATCATCAGTACGTCCTTTACCAAAGTTGTTCAAATGTTGCCTCTAGTGAAATAGCACCAGGGTGTCATAGGTTTGCCTTAAATGTATATACATGTATAAAAAAAAACTTAAAAAATATTCTCCTCTGGATTGACAAAGGCTACATGTTTGATATTTGGCATGAAACCTTTACCTGTGTAGTAGACCTCTATCACTATTGTTCAAATTATAGCCCTGGGGTCAAAATTGGCTCTGCCAAGGAGTCTTTGTATGTATATAGTAAAAACTTTAAAAAAATCTTGTCAGAAGGTACAAGGTTTACCAGGCACCAGGGTGTCTTAGGTTTTCCTTAAATGTATATACATGTACAGAAAAAAACTTAAACAGTATTCTCCTCTGAATTGACAAAGACTAGAGGTAAGATATTTGGCATGAAACATTGTGTAGTCGACCTCTACCAAGATTATTTTAATTTTAGCCCTGGGATAAAATTTGCCTGGTGGGAGGGTTGGGGGAGGGAGTCATTAATTTTCGTTATGTACTTGTAGTAAAAATTTAAGAATGTACAAAGCTAGAGCTTAGGGCTTTGATGCCTAAATTTTGTCAAGTACAAATGCTTTTATTTTGAATCAATAATTGCACTATGGAGTGCATTTTTTCCAGTGAATGCGTTTTGCATGTAAACAAAAATGTTCACCTAACTTTTAAGTCTTGCTGAATGATTCAATACCACATTTTTGTAGACTACAAACCCGCAAGTTGGTCTTATTTTCAAAGTAATTGATTAAAACACTGAAGACTCTATTTTACTATTTCAGCATTGTATACTGCAGATAATAAACAGGTCTTTGCAAACTGATTTCTGTATTGCTCTTCAGTTTCGCAAACCATGTCTTGCCTGGAAAAACACAGCACTATTCTGTAGGAACAACACCTCTTTCTTGTCCTATTAATAACTTGAGAAGAAATAAGCCTAGATTTGTGTTCGGAATTGACTGTAACCAGAAGATGACTTCTACTGAGTTCAGTGGATTAAAATCACATGGTCTTGATGTCAAGCAATGTATACCTCAGTGCTTGCAGTGCTTTGATTTTTGATGGGACAGCATAATAATGCTAGTTTAATTTTTGTGTTTTGATATTAAGATCTGCGAGAGGGAATTGAGGGTTCTGATGTTTCGACTGAATATCGTCGATACCCTCCCTTCTTCTTCTTCTATTAACTGACAATGGCCTTTCTTCGATTTAAATTAGAACATTATTTAGTAAGTTTACCACGTAATCTAGAAATTACTCTTTGCACATTTTGATGTCTCATATAGAGAAAGGTTGCTATTTTGGTATTGAACCTGCTCACTTTGTAACCAGCAAGAAATAGGTGATGAATTTCTACATATTTTTAAATGTTGTTATTTCACTTATGAAAGACACAAGTAACAGTAATTACTATTCAAGGTTGCCTAGAATTTTAAATTTTCAGGCTTTTATGTTTAGTGATAACAGAAATACTTTATTTAATCTAGCAATGTTTGTTTAAGCAAAAATGCTGAAATTTCACTAAGTCATCTACCTTATTTACTTATTTACTTCTATGCCATGTTTGTTTCATTATTTGTTGTATTATTTGTTTGTTCACTCTTATGCCCTTAAGGGCCATGATTTTTTGTTTATAAATAAATAAATAGATAAATGAATAAATGAATTGATTTATTGTATAAACTTTGTAGTCACTTCCTAACATGTAATAAATATATGATTCTATAACTATTTCGTTTAAAAATTATCTCTGTTTAGCAATTTATTACCTGCGATTAAAGTCCCTGTACCCAAAAAAATCTTATGGTCTTATATGATAAATATGTTGTTCAAATGAAGAATAAGTTAATAAAACGGCTCCAATGTTTTAAAGAAAAACATGTATGCTGATTCCCGATAATAGCTACTACATAAAATACCTTTAAATCTATCTAGTATTATCTTGGCATGAGAAGAATGCGTATCAACTGCATTTAAACATTTTTTCGTGACATATATTTGATTTCAGTCATTGTTTCTTCCATGCCATTACACCAAAACTTATATATATTTATTTATCTTAAAACTTGCTAAACTTTTTTTCCAATTATATATATCCAGTGTATACTGATTTTAATTTGTAAAGCTGTCCTATTTCAAAAACATCAACAACAGCAAACAAGAGGAGTATGGTGGCCCAGGATTGATTACCTGAGATACATTGCTAAAATATTTATACTTTTATTCTTTGTTATTGATTAATGCCAGTAGACCACTTTGGCTTTGACATTTTTTTGTTCTCCAGGCTGCATAATTTTTAAAATATTTGTAGATGTCTGCATGAAGAATATCTAAGCTCTTGGCATTGTAGTTTCACACAAGAAGACCTTATAAGATGTGTTTTACTACGTAATTCTTTATAAAATAAGTGACCCCCGCAACAAGAACCAATTTTAACCCTGTTACATTTTTCAACCTTCCTTAACGGACATGAATGTGTACTTCTTGACCTTTAACCAACCGTGGCCATGCATATTATAAGCACATAGTCTCATGATAGTTATTTGTGGCAAGTAATTTGTGTTATAATGGTGGTCATTTCTGCCAAGTTATCTTAAAAACATTGCAGCGGTTTAAATGTTATGGAGCGGACACGAATTGAGACTTTATAACACATGACCTTTAAGCGTGACCTTGACCTTGGGGGAAGCAACTAAATAACTGCGCTCTGCACATCGTCTCATAATGGTTATTACTTATGCCAAGTTAATCAAAAGAGTTTCAGCGGCTTAAATGTTATGGAGCGGACACGAAATTGTTACCGACGGAAAGTTAGACGGACGGATGCTATTCCTATCATTCCCTACCCGCTTTGTGGAAGGGGATTAAATATTAAAAGCTATGACTTATCAATTAGTAACAGGGGGGGGGGGGGGGGCATTAAAATAGATATTTTATCATTGTATCTTCGAGTCTGACCTTGACCTTGAGGGTAGTGACTTTATGTAGTGCTCTGCACATGATGTTATAATTTGTTATCATTTCTGCTTAAAAACATTGCAGCCTTTTAATATTATGGAGAGGATACGAAATGTAGACTTTTTAACACTTGACATGTATGTGTGACCTTGGGGGAAGCAAACCAATTATTGGGCTCTGCACATCGTCTCATAACGGTGATCAGTTGTGCCGAGTTTTTGCAAAATATTTCCAGCGGTTTAAAAGTTATGGAGCGGACACGAAATGTAAAGTTTTAAACACTTGTCCTTCAAGTGTGACCTTGACCTTGCGGGAAACAACCCAATTGTTGCGCTCTTCATATCGTCTCATAATGGTGATCACTTCATCTAAACTGCTGAACATTTTTTTAAATAACTTGGCACAAGACTTGTGCCAAGTTATTTAAAAAATGTTCAGCAGTTTAGGAGTTATGGAGCGGACACGAAAGTGTTACGGATGGACGGACAGACGGATGTGCCAACATTTGGGGTTTATGTGCTTTTCTTTGATCTTTATGTGGTACTTTTCCACATAAACCAGTAAAACTATCACAGGAACCAGTCAGTCTATGGGATTTCCTTCCTTTTAAGATTACGGACGAAATGAAGCTCATAGACCTTTAGAGGTTTGCCCGGATGGACGGACGACGACAGACAGAAGGACGGACGGACAGACAGACTGAGCATTTCTGGTAAAGAAAAAATGATCTTTCTTTCTTTTTGAGTAAACGGTTAACACTTCAAATTCTACCAACTTGATTAAATAGTGCCAAAACAGCAGGAATTAATATTTACACACAATCAGCGAGTAAGGAAATGAAAAAGGCTGTTATTATGTGGTAATTCAAGTATGATAACAGCCGTCAGTGAACTAATAGTTTGTGTATGAGTCGTAAATAACACAATTAAGAATAGAATAGAACTACTAACAAACCACTTTAACGACGATGGTTAACAAGAAGCGATGGGACAAGCTTTGGTATTTTAATTCTATTTTAACAAACTGCTTGCTAAGTTATTGTAATATATGTATGACATGGCCCATTTCGAAAATGTCACGTCTTGATTTATGTCACAATTATACACGTTATATTCTAACATAGCATAATCTTTAGTAGGTTAAAATTTTTGCAGAGGTCCACTTGACAATTTAGGTTCTTTGTATTAAATGTATTTTCCTAAATTAACTTTTGTTAAGTAAATGACCCCTAAGGTGGAGCCAATTTAGACCCGATGGGAATGGTTTATATAATTTTTGTAGGAGACAACAAGGTGATGCCAAATATCTAAGTTCAGGGCATTGTAATTTCTGAGAAGAGGATTTTCAAAGATTCCATTTTAGAGTCAATTTTAAGCTCCTGTGGAACCATCTATATGACTGTTGTAGAAAACAACCTAAGTATTATTCCTTTGAAGTTTGGTCAAAATCCATCGAGTGGTTTAGGAGGAGATTTTGTTTAAAGAAATTGTGGACACTGACGGAAGACGCACGACGTATAAATTGAAGTCACAAATACTCTGTCCACAAAATGATACTCAAGTATTTAAAATAATCATTCTTCCCTAGAATATATCGACTTGTTTCTGCACATAATCTTTCGCGTCGCTATTGAACTAGCGTATTGTAAAAATGCATATAAATAAATTCTTTGAAAATAAACAACATACCACCTTTAAGATAGGATTTTATTGATCGTGCCATGTGATGAAAAACAAGTAAGCAAACAAAATCAAGTTTTGGCTATTTCATTTTTATCCCATCCCGCAGTACAACTAAGATCTTCACCGGTTGTAAAAGTTGCATCAGCTGCTAAAAATAGGCATGCCATTCCGATCTCACGTGGATCGGCAAACCGTCACAGAATCTGAAAATACAACAATAAATACAATCATTGTCCAGAACTGTTTAAAAAATGAAATCTTGAAGTATTGAATTAAATTGGTTCATGCCTCTCCACATATTCTGGTCATATAAAGTACTTAAAAACAATTAAAAGATTTGGTATATTATGTTCGAAATGAAAGTGTTGGTAACCATGTACATCTGAAATGAGTGTTTTCATTGATTATATATCACAATTCACGGAGTAATACATTTTGCACTAGAATCTTAATAATATTCATTGTTTTGCTCCTTTTTTCCTTTGAATAGCCAACATCACAGCGATCTACTGTCATACTTTTTTTCTCACCACTAACAGTTTTCATATTAATACACAGTAAGTAAGCTTTAGCATTTACAAACAATTATGACAAGAAAGAAATATTTTAAAGAAATTTAGACAAAACAGTTTTAAGTCAAACATTTTTTTCAAACTTACACTTATATCTTTTATTTGTTCCATCTCTCCCTTTTCTGCTGTTTTTGCCCATTCTTCGAATAAAGGTGTCCAAACACATCCAGGCGATATCCTAAAATATATACATTGAGAGTCCAATATGGTTTTCTCTAAAAAGACATCCACGATTTTGTCATTATTGCATATAAATACACAAAAATTTAGAATGATGGCAAAAAAAAGAAACGATTTAACAAATGCAAACAGGCGAAATAATCTTTAATTATAACATTGAAAACAGAACTTTGTTCCACTGACGGTTTAATGATGCTCATCCATTTGATAAATTCACGTTTGTTGATTAAATGCAAAATAAAACTTATCTAATTTTAGCAATCATGACACACAATATCGTAATTCATTTAATAACCTCTACTCACGAATTCATTCGTACACCATGCCTTCCCTCATCTGTTGCAAGAGCACGTGTCATACCAACAATTCCACCCTACAAAAGTAACATGCTATACTTCACGCCATACAAAAATAAATCCAATGAACCTTACACGTTGAACTTAGTGGTATTTCAATAAATATAATTATTGGATCACCTGATATGATATGATATGATATGATATTGAAAGATATGAAGGACATGACATGACATACAAAAACAAATAACATAAAATAACATAATATACATATTACAACATTACATACGATATCTTGCTGTAACAAGACAACAATATATGATAGTGCATACCAAATAACATGACATATTTAAACAAATAACATAACATCTTCCTATTATGATTACACATTACATCAATACATACAATTAAATGTTTAAACAACATAACAAAACATGACAAAGATCTACCATAACAAATATTGTGACATACGTTAGCAAATAACATAACACAACGTAATGTAAGGTAACATAAAAATCACTATTATTATAACATATTACAACATTCCATATAACATGAGAGTAATATGATAACAAAACATTACAAAACATAACCAATATTATTATTATAATAAAGAGCAACAAAGCATATCATTACGTTCTTAACATTAGATAACTTAACAAATAACTCTTAATTAAAACGCATTATAGTAAAATAAAATCAATATATCGTTACAGTTAAAAGAATACAGACAGGGAGTCTGGACTTTTCAAGATTATAATAATCAAAGGAAATCCGCATTAAACATAAAATTTGAAATTTTTGCATAGGTTATCTGATCCACACAAATCGGAAAAAAATATGCAAAATATAAATAAATAAATTGAGTTAAAAACCAATTAAACGCTTTTAATTTTCATGCCATTTTGCAGAACTAAAATAATAATTCTAGGAAACGGAGCGAGCGAATATCTATTTTGTACACTGACCTTCATCTTTTGGTACACAAATCTCGGAAAAATATTACCAATCCGGTTATGTCTGGAAACCCCGTTATAAACAATACCTAATTATAATATATATATAGGACTTAGATTACCATAAACGTTTTCAAGAAGGAAATAAGGAAGCAGATCAAATTACCGTTGTAGCAACATACGTCACTGCGTCAGGTTGACCGACCGTGAAAGCTCCACTAGATATATTTACTACTGAACCCTTTGTCTTTCGAATATAAGGCAAAGCAAACTGAAAACACACTATGATCTGTTACGTAAATGGCCAACTAATATTTGCAAACATATCGCAAACAAGCATTTGTTTATCAAGCAATTACAGCTATTTAAAATGTACCTTTTCTGCAAATGTTTTCATGAATAAACTTCTGCTTAAGGTGAATTACATATCTTTAAGGCAATGAATCAGGCTATAGCATTTATAATATTCGTGAAAATTACTGAAGAAAGATGCACAATTTAGTCTTCGCTACGATTGAAAATTTTTTTTTGATAAAGAACCTCTACACAAATAAATGTAGGCAGATACTGTGTTTACCTTACAAGCAAGGAAGTATCCTATAAGATTTAAATCCAACAACTTTCGAAATTCCTCTGACGAAAACCCGTCTATAGTTCTTGCAGGTGGGTCTACAAAAGGAAATGAAATAACAAGTTGACGTAGCCACAACATTGATTCCCGCTCATAATGATAATCACTATGTAAGTATTTAATCACAGTGTCACTGCGAGATCTCATCGTTACTTTCGTTAGAAAGATGTCCCTTGAGGTCCCTTTGAGAATCATTTCACAGCTGTTGACTATTTTTCATGTATTTTATCTTTTAATATACAAGTAAAACTAAGTTGTTAATTTAATATTAGTTTTTTTTTAGTTCTAACTATCTTTCTAATGTTGCAAAAGCAAAAATAATAATAAAAAAGTATTAAAATCACAACATCTTGGGAATTTGGATATACATCATCAAATCATTCATTGGAGTGGTAACATAATTCCATATTCTAATCCAAGCACTTAAATTATCGCAAATAATTTGGATGAATTTAAGGGGTTAATTTTTCATATTTATAAACTTTAAAAATTAATCAGTACCATATTTCTTCTTTTTTGTTTATTCAATAAATTACGATAATAAAGTTTAATAAACTTACGCCAACCAGCATTGTTCACTAGACAATCTATCCTCTGGAATTTATCAATCGTGGCTTCAACTGCTGCCTGGTTTATGAAATAATATGAAAATTTGCACATGCATTTTTTTATCGTATGACTTTGATATTTAATGTTTGAACTTCAAACGGCTAGTTTAATATTACATTTTTACACAATTGTTTTTTTAATATGTTTTACATTTATTGTTTTAAAACTTTTTTACTTTTATTGATGATAGTGTTAATTGTTATTTAGTAATTTAGTGTATATCACCGTAAAGCGCCTTTGAACGTGTATATGAAAAGGGCGCTATATAAGTTTGGTAAATAAATAATTATAATAATGCAATATTTTCTTTTGGTATAGCAGTTTTGCTACTTTATGCCTAATTTTCTAATTCATATGTACCATTTGCAGTTTTAAATATGTGCTCTACGTTTAAATAAATATCATGTTAATGACGCTGTGGCATTTGTAACAAACTAAAGTTTGATCTAGCATTGTAATATGTTCTATCTGGTGTTAGAATCTATGTAATGATAATGAGAAATCTAAAATTTTACATGAAGATTGTAAGAAATTTTCAGACAATAATCACAAGGATATAAAACTTTAAAAAGTTGTTCTTTTTAGTACATGTATAGTCTACTTATATTTTGATGATACGTAAGCAAACGGCTTTTCAAAACAATATTTAGACTCAGTTGCTTTAAATCGTAACATCATAATATCTGCTTGTAATATTGCACTGTCTGTGTTAACTTTTTGATGAAAAACAGAACCGACCGTTATGTTGACTTGCTCGGAAATATTATTCTTTTATATAAACTCAACTATACATAGAAGCCTTGGTGAATTACCAATAAACATTACTTTAGAGTCAGAAGGAGAAAACAGACTTCAGCAGTACTTACTTAGGACCAAAGGCAGGTCAACCAAACACAAGGTCAGACACTACAGGTTAAAAGTAGGTCAGTCAGTACAATTATCACACGTGAAAAGCGTGTTTGACAGAGAGTACCCCCATATGTTGACTAGCGAACTATTCAAAATCAAAGCCGTTTTTAACGAGACAATGTATTCATATATACCTTAAAAGACTGGGCAAATGAAGTTAATGGAACGTTTTACGAACAAGAATTGCAGGCAGTCAGTGTGGATCAAAATATAGAATACCACGTTGAAAAAGGTATTTAAGAAAAGGACGGGAAACAAATAAAAGGAAGTATTAGTTCGTTGGTTGCATTGGCCGAAGAAATTGATAGCTGGAACCCAGAAAAAAACCTGACACAGTACTCTTAAGTCTGACACAGTACTTTTAGTCACGTGATCATTCTTGTATATTTAGCAGATATTAGCAACAAAAATGCCATTGATGATATTGAGATTCGAGACTTGCATCAAGATTATTATCAACGTTGTGTGCAACGCTAATCAGGACTGTTCCATGGACTTGAGTCATTTATGCTATCATATAGGCTCGTTATGATCCAGAAATATTTCCCGAACTGATTTGCAACACAAAACCTTCGGCGGTAATTGCTTTGTTTTCTCCAATGGTGTAATCAGTTGTAACGGTAAGGCATCCAGTGTTACAAAGGGACATCAGAGACTTCGTCAATACGCAGGACGTATACAGCGTCATGGATTAACATTGACAGATCACATTATTAACTATATCCGCTAGTCACACCTTATGAACCGCGTTAGATTAACAGTTATTGGCGAAAGAAAGATAGGTCGTTCATAACTGTTCCCCTCCCCAAATTTTAAAAGAGAATGAGTCCAATTTTTGTTGTTTTCACAGCGGTAAAGTAGTAATAACTGTTATCAAAAAGATGACGTAGTCTACCCTGTACTCATAGGACTGGAACTTTTTACACGTTAGAAAGAATGAGCGCCTAGAGAAATCAACCATGAACCAGTCTCAAGTGTAGCGGAAACTGAACTTTCTTTTTCAGTTATTAAAAGATGCTGCTGTCGCTGCCAGAAAAAACATAATCACTAATATAACAGGGATTCAACGTGACAAAAACAGAAAACATACGTGAAAAAATGAAATAGTAATTACACTTTTTGAAACATCATTGACACTTTTATAAAAAGCAGTGACACTTTTTGAAACAGCAGTGACACCATTTGAAACAGACCCTAAAATGTGTTCTCCGCAGTTTAATTCGTCGGTTAATTCTCTTGGATACTCGCCGAGAGTAGGATCATACTGTCCTTCTTGACTCACATAAGTCACACTGTCTATATGGTAATACAACATCCGTTTGTCACACTGTATAGTTTAAAGCTATATTAAATAAATTTCAAATGTAAATATTGCGACATAGATGTTGATTCTGATTTGTCTGGTTGGCATTCGGTTTTGTATACAGTGTATGATCAAGGGATTTTAGGCCCTTAGGAACTGCCATCACATATCCATAAAATATGTGATTGTTTTATTTCCTTTTTCTTTTCAAATGTGTCAATATCTTCCTTTTATGATTTAATCTGTTGATTTACTTGTATGTAAACAGAAATTTCTGTGAAGTCATATTCCATCGTGACTGTCAAAGAATTTAATAGTTTTGTTACCGGGTATTTAAATATATTTAAATCTTGGATTTTCATTTATCAGGTATGTTAAGTTACTTATTTTTCTCTATCTACTATTTTTCCTTCAATGTTTCACTGTAAGACATATGTTTTTTTTTAATCTTAAACTGTGTTTCTTAAGTATATTTTAATTTGCGCAATTCTCCATACTTTACATATTAAATGATCACTGCATTTAATATTAATTTATTGTAATTAAAATAACTGAGATCTTGGAATATTTATTGTTCCTCGCCTTTTCAAAGAAAAAAGGGGGATATAGAAATAGGCTCCGTCCGTCTGTCCGTCCGTCCGTCCGTCACACTTTCGTGTCCGGTCCATAACTTTGTCATTTTTCAAAGGAATTTGAAATAACTTTGCACAAATGTTTGTTATAATAAGACGATGTGTCTGGCGCAACAATCAGACCCCTATCTCCAGGGTCAAGGTCGCACTTGCTCATTCAAGGTCAACAATATCTTTTTGAGGGTATATGTCGTGTCCGGTCAATAACTTTCTTATCTTTGAAGGGATTTTGTTAATACTTGCCACACATTGTTCACAATAATGAGACAATGTGTCGTGTGTAACAACCAGTCACCTACCTCCAAGATCAAGGTCACGCTTGGAGGTCAAAGATTAACATAGTCTGTTATAGGGTATATTTTGTGTCCAGTCTATAACTTTTTCATAGATCAAAGGATTTTGAAAATACTTAGCACAAAATAATCACTATAATAAGACGATGTGTCATGCGCCACACCTGCATCCCTACCTCCAAGGTCAAGGTCAAACTTAGAGGTAAAAAATTCACATAGTCTGTTACAGGGTATATTTTGTGTCCAATCTATAACTTCTTCATAGATCAAGGGATTTTGAAAATACATGGCACAAATAGTCACAATGATAAAATGATATGTCATGCATATCACCTGTGTCCCTACCTCCTAGGTTAAGGTCACACTTGGAGGTCAAAATTAACATAGGGTATATTTTGTGTACGATCTAGAACTTCTTCATAGTTCAAGGGATTTTGAAATAACTTGGCACAAATAGTCACAATAATAAGACGATGTGTTAAGTACAACACCTGCACCCTACCTCCAAGGTCACACTTAGAGGTCAAAGATTAACATAGTCTTTTATAGGGTATATTTTGTGTCCGATTTATAACTTCTTCATTGTTAAAGGTATTTTGAAAATACCTGGCACAATTAGTTATTATAATAAGACGATAATGTCATGCACAACACCTGCACCCCTATCTCCAATGTCAAGGTCACATTTAGAGGTCAAGGCTTAACATGATAGATTTTTAATTTCCGTGTTTCATTTTATTACTTTAATAAATTTATTGTTGCAGTTGCATATCTAGCATTGATCATAATTTTGGACTGAAAGTCCTGAGATCATACTTCAATCTTTTGAAATAGCAGTTTTATGCTTCATATAAAAGTTCCCTGAGGCGGGGGACGTTGGTAACTCTATGGAGGGTTATTTATGCAAAAA